GCTAGCTAATCGCCATCTATCCATCAAGAATATTTACTCAGCCCCCTCCCCCGTCTCCGCCACGCCCTCCCCCTTCCCGATATCACTGATTTGCAACAGGCGGCGGAATTCACTTTTATAAAAATAACTCACATCATCTACTTCACGTTGTTTCGAGCGTATGCTATCTGGAGAGTTTTCCTCAAGTTGAACTGAATTCAGCGTTGAATCTACACCTTTCAGCAGACTTATTATGCGCTCCGATCCGCCTGGTAGCTACAAAACAGCATGCATGATTGGTTGCTGATTTTAGCCACGAAGACAAAATTTCTTCCTTTCTTTGTTTTAGTACAAATTTTTAAACCTAGAGATTGTGGGTGGGAGATCTCTGCACATTTCAGATCCGCTTATTATGCGTATTTGCCGTGCAAAGCTAGAGCGCTGCAGTAGCAGCAAAAATGCGTATCGCAATAAGCCTGTCACTGTGCGTATGTATGTGTGTTTGTATGGGTGTGTTCGTCTGTCCGGGTATTTCAACTCGCCCACCACGCAAGCGTTGAAGCTGAAATTTTGCCAGTGCGTTCCTCGGCCATGTGCCATCCCAGGACCACGGTATCAATCCTCATTCACGTCTGGACCCTGCGTACGACCATGTGAAAATTTTGGCGGGATAGCTGCTAATTCGGAAACGAGAAAAGCTAGAAGGCTGAAGCTTCACTGCTATATTCCCTACCTTTCTATGACAGAAAGATTTCAAATTCAGCAGCGCAGGACTGCCCGAGGCTCACGTGCCGGCATGTTTAAATTATGGTGGGAAATATGCTAACTCGGGAACGAGAAAAGCTAGAAAGCTGAAACTTTAGGGTAATACTCAATGCTCATGTGCGAACAAAAGACTTCAAGCTCAGCTTCCCAGAATTACCCTGGGACACACGTACGGACACTTGAAAATCTTGGCGAGAAAATTGATAACTCAGGAAAAAGAAAAGCTAAAAAGCTAAAACTTTAGGGTAATGTTTCCTGCCCATGTATAACCAGGGTATTTTAAATTCAGCTACCTAGGACTGCCCGGGACTCATGTATGGTGCGTGGAAATTTTGGCGGGAAAATCACTGACTCGAGAACGAAAGAAGCTAGAAAGCCGAAGCTTTCGGGTACGGTTTCCTATTCATGTACGACCAAAATCAGCTGTTTAGGAGCGAGTGCGGCCCACATACGAGCACGTGGAAATTTTGGCGGGGCAATCACTAACTTGAGGATGAGAAAATCCAGGAAGCTGAAACTTTAGGAAAATGCTCCCTACTTATGTACGCCCAAAATCAGCTGTTTAGAAGAGCCCGGGACCCACGTACTGATACTTGGAAGTTATGGCGGAACAATTGCTAACTCGGAAACGAGAAAGTCTAGAAAGCCGAAACTTTAGGGAACTGTTCCCTTTTCAGGTACGATCAAAAGTTTTCATATTCAGTGACCTAGAATCGCCCAGGACTCACGTACGAGCGCGTGAAAATTTTTGCGGAAAAAATGTTGACTAGGGAACGAGAAATGCTGGAAGGCTTTAATTTTCACGAAATGTCCCCTGCCCATGTGCGACTGAAAGATTTCAGATTTTGACTTTTCTAATAGGGCCTTTTTTGCAGATTAACGACCTTCTATTTGTCGGTCACTAAAGTCGACATCTAGAACTAACATGCCACATATCTGCACGATTAATTTCCCAAACTTCGAGGGCCAGTATGTTATAGGGCCAGCTATTGTAATTCGTTGCGATCTTACTATGACACGAAAAGTGCAAAAACGCATGATCCCACCGCCGCCTGGTGCTTTCCAGCCCTGGGTTTTGTTCTTTATCAACACCGTATACAACTGCGGGTGACAAATTATAATGATGGTTATGATCGGGCATGTTTTTAGCATCAAAACAATGAATATGTTATCTCATAAATCGTATGTTTTCAATTTTGCAACCTGGATTTTTGCGAGGTTTGCAGGCGATTCATCAGACAAGAAAACATTTCAGAGCTTCTACCTTAAGTTTTTTTTTTTAAATATTCCCTCGGTTCAGCTCTCCCAATTTCCAAAAATTTATTGTATATGAGTACACTCGAACTCGTAAAATATGCGTTTAGTTATTTATAAATGATTACAACGACAACTTATCAAAATCACCGCTATTTAACTATGCAATGCATCTAAAAAATGACTCGCCCTTCACGGGTTCAACTTGAAAATATGCTGCCTAGTTTTCACCAAGATGCCCCCATATGGTAAAAGTCCTGAAATAGGTAGACCAAAGAGGCTTTGCGTATTGCTTATCAAGTTGAAAACAAATTAAATTCCCGTTTTGCGTAACGAGTATTATTTTGAATGTTTGTTTCGCTTTTTCCAGAAAATACCTTTTGCGCGCGAAGGATTATACGAAACCGTTTAACAAGCTCCACAAAGTCCGGTCTATCCACTGGCTTACGTTTCCAGCAATCACGCATAGCCTGAACTTTTAGTAAAAAATAATAAAATGACTCAGTACAAAGACTGATGAAAAATTTGCTTCTTTCATTGCAACAAATAAACTATTTTCGAAATTAAGTTTTAAGTTTCTAAACTGTTGTAATTTTGATTGCTATGCAATTCAAAAGATTATTCCAAAATTTATCTTTAGTTATTTGACAAACGAGTAATTCTTGGTGAAAAATACTCATGAAGTAAACTCGTTAAAGGAGGCTCCAGTTTACAATATGATGCCATATCGAAGACAAACCAGTAATGAGCCTCAAAACCGAGAACAAACCATAGAGGATGATGAACTACAGAGGATGATACTACCAGACAAAACGGCTACGGATTAATGTCCCACTGCTAGACTTTTTTCAACCGCCATTTTTTATTCTTATAAATTTTTATATTTCCTAATAATTTTCTAATTATATTCTTTCTGTGATTTTTTATGGTCCAGTAGTCCAAAAAGTGAGGGGAAAAAACAAACGTCAATGTTAGTATCATGCTGACCAATGTATAATGCGGCACTGGTCAGCGCAAACGAAGATGTTGCCAGCTGCATAGTTAGGA